GGATATAGAAATGAAAGCAGATAGGTTAAAGGAAACTGAATTTATCTACCACAGAGTAAGTAACAGAGCATGGAAGTAGGATTTAAAGGACTAAGAAGAAAAAAAAAAGGCAAGAATAGAACTCTGGGAGGCCGAGGAGGGGGGACTGCACTCATGAGTTTGAGACCAGCCTAAGCAAAAGCAAGACCCCGTCTCTACTAAACATAGAAAAACTGAGGCAAGCGGATCACTTGAGCCCAAGTTGGAGGTTGCTGTGAGCTATGATGCCACGGCACACTACCCAGGGTGACAGCTTGAGACTCTGTCTCAAAAAAAAAGCAGGAATAGACAATTAATGCCAAAAAAATGATTGAGACATGACATGAGGTGTAAAGATTTTTTTATACAGGTTTCAAGTCCCAATCATATTTTTTCCAGGAAGTAGCTTCCTAGGAAAATGGGAGTAAATTTTAGGTGTAAATCTAAAGGCAAAATCTAGGAAGTTTTTCCTGATTTCCTGTGTTACATTCAGTTACCCATTTAGAATATGCCTCTAGGCTGGGCTTGGTAGCTCAATGCCTATAATCCTAGCATTCTGGGAGGCTGAGGTGGGCAGATTGCTTGAGCTCAGGAATTCAGTTATCAGACTGAGCATGAGCAAGACCCCTGTCTCTACTAAAAATAGAAAATTAGCCAAGCATAGTGACAATGTTGCCCCATAATGTAGTCCCAGCTACTCAGGAAGCTGAGGCAAGAGGATTGCTTAAGCCCAAGAGTCTGAGGTTGCTGTGAGCTATGATGATGCCATCATACTCTACACAGGATGACAGAGTGAGACTGTCTCAAAAAAAATGTCTGGGTGTGTTGGCTCATGCCTGCAATCCCAGTGCTCTGGGAGGCTGAGGCAGGTGGACTGCCTGAGCTCATGGGTTTGAGACCAGCCTGAGCCAGAGCAAGAACCTGTCTCTAAAAAATAGCCACGCATTGTGGTAGGCATCTGTAGTCCCAGGTACTTAGGAGGCAGAGGCAAGAGAGTCGCTTAAGCCCAAGAGTTTGAGATTGCTGTGAGCTATGATGCTGCGGCACTCTACCAAGGGCAAGAAAGTGAAACTGTCTCAAAAAACAAAAAAAACCCCACAGAATATACCTCTCCATATACCTTGTGCTGGGGGCTCCAGTCTTTCTGTTCTATTCTTTAAACAATCACTGAGACTCAAGTGCACCCTTTCCTTTATTTGGGTTTGGGTTTCTATTTATTTATTTATTTGAGACAGAGTCTCAGTATGTCACCCTCGGTAGAGTGCCGTGGCGTTATAGTTCACAGCAACCTCAAACTCTTGGGCTTAAGTGATTCTCTTGCCTCAGCCTCCCAAGTAGCTGGGACTACTACAGTGCCCACTACAACACCTGGCTGTTTTTAGAGACAGGAGGTCTCACTCTGGCTCAGGCTGGTCTCAAACCCGTGAGACCACCACACTCGGCCTTTTGGGTTTCTATTTTTGAGAGACACCAACTACCTCCTCCCTCTTAGTTTCCCTCTGAACCCAGGGTAGAGTTTGGTATATAAATTGGCACAGTCTGGCAAAACTTGACTTATTTACGACTTTTTCTAAAAAGCTCATGCGTCATTTCATGTATGTAGTAATAATAAGTATATATTAAGGTTACACTTAAGGAAAGGAAGTTTAAGAAGCCTCCATATT